CGGGAACCGCACTCGGTGTGTCTCGAGCATGGTCCGACCGGTTTCCCGGTGGACGAGCGCTGGGCCCACCCGGAATTCACTCCGCGGTCCCTGTTCGCTGATCCTGTCGGGAGGATCCGCCAAGGCGCCGCAGCTGGGAGGATTCGGCGCCGAGACCAGGAGTGGCGCGAGGTGCGGCCGCATCCGCTGACCGACAGCCATTTGACGCCACCACCACCGATCGTATCGATCGGTCGAAAACAGTATAACCGAGCCGCTGCTCTCGCTGCGTCACGGGTGCCGCGGAGCTGCAGACTGCGCATCACGTGACGCGTCGCGCCCAGCGTCCGCCGGCCGCAGCTGCGCGGAGCCCTCTGACGGAGGCGCGGGCCGTCGCGCGGGGCGGCGTCCGCAGCGGTGGCACGGACGTGCGCCATGGGTGTGGTGGCGCGGAGCGAGCGATACCGGCGGAACGTCACAGCGATTGAGTGAAAGTAGGATTTCGTTTTCGGCAGATGTGTTGCCGTTTGGAAGCCCGCACAGCTATAATCATCCGTCGTTATTGAGGTCACCGACGTTGTATCGTCGGAATCGCATGGTTGTCAGCTTAAACCGATTTGAGCGATCTTCTAGATAGTCAAGACCTTCACATTCAGGGACTGTGTCGTTTTAAACAACATCGTCTTTAAGGTTTGGTCGGGATTTGAGTTCTTTCAGCTGGCACTAATAATTTCGAGGCTATGGGACGAAGACGCAATGGTTCGGTTGAAATAACATCCAGGTGTCGTTCCTCGCCCTTGCCTGGCTCAAAATCCCATAGTAAATTAAGTTACGCTTTTAGAACGGAAACATCCGACAGACAATCGGTGCTTGGTGCGCAACATTTGCTGCAGTAAGTCGATGCGGAAGATTTTTGGGGCACAGACCCTCCCTCCAGCCATTTCTAACCAGCTGCCGATGGAGTTGAACTGCCGGTGTTCCGTTTAAGCGCGTATACAACAGGACGGTGGGCTTCGGTAGCCGAGAAAAGGCGTTTGGTGAACGGTATGATCCCCCCCCCCCCCCCCGCCTAAACAGACGGCGACGTCAACGACTAAAAATATGCGCGCCAAGTGTGGAGAAACAGTTTGACTGTGCTCGATCAATCCACACAAATCACAGCCGAAGTCAAACAGACAACGGAGACCTGAAATCATGCTTGAGCACGAAAATGTCTTCAATTCTTAACACGCGTCGGGTGGACGGGTGAGTACCCTTCGCTCGGGAACGGGGGTCAATTTGGTCCCCGCTGAGATCTCTAGAACTAAGAGAGCTAGAGACACCAAATTTACAGGGTGTAACAGCCTGTATACAAAACCACTTACGTCAAAATCTGAGGCCCCTAAGTCATGACCTTCGGTTCGAATAAGGTCAAACAAGGTCAAACACCAGGTTGGTGTCTACCGTACCCCAAAATCTAGATACCTGTCCTTAGCAAAAGGTCGCTGGTGATCATTCACGGTCGGTGGCCTTAATTGACTTTTAGCAGGTTATGGTGACCAAAAACACACAAAACTGCTTTCAGTTTTACGTTTCAATAACCGCTAAATATTACGCTAGGCAGAATGTTCCTAAAACAAAATGTTGACCTGGGTCATTGCGGTTCCTGTTAACAAGGAGTTCGAAATGAGCACCAGAAACTAATCCGAACAGCAAGCTATGAAGTAATAAAGCAGGTTAGTATTGACCTTGGCCTGATCTTTATGCCCGACCCTAGGTCGATGGAGTTAGTTCATTCAATTATTTCGTTGCCTTAGAAAATATCCCAGACGTGTAAGACATCGTCTAACACCCCGTTATTGCATCAGATTGAACGATTCCAAGAAATTATCCTCGCTGAATCCATGGCCTGACTTTGACTTGTCGTAGGTAAGCGACCTTACAAGCTACACCTAAACTTTTCATACCAAGCGATCCGCTATTCAGTTATCTACTGTACAAACGCTCCTCAATTTCAAGGAAAAGGAGAAAGAGCTGACAACAACAAAAAAACAGCCGAGAACTTCATATCTTATTTCATAAATATTTTTAAAAAGTTGATCATGACATAGAACCAAATAATGTCATTCATTTCGGAGTGATCGCAAAAACTCGTAGCATAATCCGACCTACAGGTCGCATCCACGGCATGTAACAATCCTGTCTGGCGAGAAGGCCGTGGGGAAAATTATACAAAGCAATGGATCGGGCTATTTTGGGGTGATGGGTAGGAGTGCCATGCGACGTATGCACTTAGCACCGAGGTTCTAGAAGGAATATCACAACAGGAAGGCACGAGGCGGTGGCACCGAGGAGGCTCAAGAACGGGTTTCACTACCGGAAGGCAAGAGGCGGCAGGCGGAGCGTCAGGATGTCGGGCGTGGAACAATTGTTCAGACTATTGTTCTCGTCTGGTGTGTTAGTACAGGACGTTTCGGTCAGTCGGCTCTCCGATCGTCGTCAGAGTTTGTTGGGTATTGACAATGACCGGATAGCGTTTGGCTTTCATCCACGCATGCGCCGCAGCCTCCTCGAAACTGCTGGGGTTCGCGTCGGAATCTTCCGATCACAAGTTCAGCGCTCTACCAGTTGAGCTAACCGGGAAGGACAGGGCATGAACTGGGCCAACTTGCCGATTAGCTCAGATGGTGGAGCGCTGGATTCGTGATCAGAAAAACCCTGGCTCGAATCCCAGCGAGTACAAGGAAATAAGTCCGGTGTCGCGCGTGTGTCACTGAAGGCCAACCACTATCCAGTCCTTCTTAGGACCCAATAACACTGACGACGGCCGCATAATTCACTGGCCGAAGCGCTGTGTACGGTCAAGAAAGACAGCCCGAACAGTCGTTCTATTGATGATACAAATATATGGTCTCATTCCTTCCGTCCAACCGTCACGATCTCCACCAACGCAACACCCGGTGGCAATGCCGGCCGCTAGATGCCGGGTGCAATACCAGTCATATGACCCATACAACAATATTATATTGCTATAATATAGCAATAACAGAAACGTGTCAAATCCAGTAAATTCCCCGCAGTATCGAACTAAGATATCACGGCTCATCGTGGCTGATACCCAGAGGCGCATTCCACTGAACAATGATTTCACTGTATTTTAGTGCACGAAGTGAGTCAGTGACACACGTAGATACCTACCGAACACCACAGCCGATATGTCACCTCCACTTGAGGGCAACGAACAGCACAAGGTTTTTACGCAACCTGAAAGGGATCCAGTCATAAGACCTTTTACCGGTTCTGACCAGTGTCATTACATAATGCCAGAAAAACAAAAACATTCCGAAAAAATAACGACAACCGCCGCAGAAATCGTGTTCTACTGGATGCGATGGCCGACCTGGCGCTGGCCGGCGCTGGCCAGTTGCAGCACAGAGACAGCTCCCGCGCCGCGCGCTGTTTGGTAATGTTAAACACAAAAATCAAGACCCTAGGACTTTTTATTTCAAGACTTTTTCTATTCAGAGACATCTTTATACGATGTTTCCGTAGCAAAATCGCAGGTGGTTTCACATTATATTGACAGACACAAAATTCGCCAAAGATTCCGCCCGGTAGTTCTGTTTCGGAGAAATTATGTGCGGCAATGATGCTTGAAACAATGCGATAAACGGTCCGTGGTGAATCCAGGGAAATATGTGTACGGTGGAGCCACGGTTTCAACTTAATATCATTCGCGATTTCTAATAATAAAAATGCAAGATTTTTATATTCATCCTAAGCCTTTCCACCTCGATCTTTGTCGAAAAAAGGGCAACATTGTCATATTAGGCGAGCCGAGTTAGTTGCCCGATTCCGGGAGAAATTCACATATTTAAATTGTGATAGTACTTAGAACGTTATCTCAGCCACCTCAGCTTTATTCAAAACCCCACTCCCAGGCTTTCCATCTATAAAAACACAGCATTTAGTTACCCCTTTTGCCGTTCCTAATGCAAGAACAATCTTACGACACATCGGTGGAAACGATTTCATCTTTACCAATGACGTCCGACCGACGGACGACATGCTGTGCTCATCGACTACGCACCCGTCCCGCATTCACCTGTAGGCGGCAAAAGTTAACACAACAGCCGATAGACTCGGTTTTAAAATCACACTCGTGGTCGCGCAACAACGGATAACAGCTCCGGTTTATACCAACCTATAGCGGCAATGCAACAGCCGACAAGTGTTTTTACCATCAAGCTCACAGCAGCGCAACATCCGACGGCTCTGATTCGTACAACAAATTCACAGGTACGCGGTATCCGAAGCTCTCATTGGTAATATCAAACTCACAGCGGCACGACAGACGAACGCCCTAGTTTGCACCATCATTTAAAATAAATCATAAGTTTAATACCTTCCGATTTATGACAATGGATGAAACACGTCTTCTTTTCTCGCCAATGTTGCATTTGCGTGCCAGCCGAGTTTAGTTGTACATTATCTTGAATGAAGCGTGTCTACTCCTAATCAACAGGACAGCTGAGGATGGTCCCATCATAAGTGCAATGATGGCAAGTACAGGCTCAAGTTAACAATAAATCAACTTCTAGTTTTTAGAGGGAACCGAGTCCGTTTTTTCAATCTCATTTTTTCAATTTCAAATCAATTTCCAGAAAAACACCTCTTCCATGCTTTCAGCTCCCAACACAATCCAGAAGCCAGGCACGCGACCACTCCTTGCACTTTGCTGGGTAACTGTAATAACTCCAAGAAAGCCTTAGCAATAACCAGAAACAACAGTTCACTGCAAGTTACCAGGGTCTCTTTATGGTCCCTGGCAATTTCCAAGTGAAATGTCGCGATTGCCGAAGCGCTTTTTTGGACATGAAGGCTTAGTTGAGAAAAAAAATCCCTAGACAATTGATTTGTGTTTTTAGCATTTCCAAACACGCGCGCCGGGCCACTGCCTGCCGCCGTCGCCGCCTGCCTACGTCACGCTGACGTCATGGGGCCGGCGGCCGGCGGCTGGCGCCGGCGCGGCGCAGTGCAGTTCGGCGGTGCCACCGGGGGCGCGGGGCGCGGCGCGCGGGAGCAGTGCACGACGTTTCCGACGGAGGAGCGACGCGCCGCTGCTGCGCCGGTGAGTGCGAGCCCCGATCGCCCCCGCGACGACCGGCGGCCGTCGCTGCCGACAACCGGAGCCGGCGCAGCCCGGCCCGACTGTCGGCAGCGCGTTCTGTGTTCAAGGCCGGGTAGTATGGCCGTGGCGGGCCTCAGTCGCGTCAGGTGGCGCCGCACCTGACCTGGAAAGCGGCAGGTGCCGACGCGGCACTGCGTTCCCGTCCGCGCGTCCTCGCGAGGCGGGTCCGGCGCTAAGAATCGGGGCCATCACGATCTGACGAGGCGGATCGCGATGGCTCAGTCGGATCTGGCGACGATGACAACGCTCCTGCGCCAGACGGGCGGCGAGACGTTTTCTCAGTCGCGGGCGTATGGGGCCGTTCCTTATTACTGCTCTGGTGATGCGAAGTCATCTCTGAAATCGGATAATGAACACGAAGCTTATCTTCGAGTGGACAAGCCTGTTCTCGATCAGGCTGTGGGAGGTATGCCGGGAGTAGGCCTGCCGGGAATACGTCTCCTGAGCGTAGGTCCCCCTCACTTGGTGACGACTAAAACACGTCTCATCCCGACGGATACTACCGATTTCCCGCATCGAGAATTCGTCTCCGTCCTCATTTGGGTTTGCTCCATCATGTTTGGCCAGACGGCGCTTATTAAACGCTGAAAGAAGTACGCCATTGCTTACAAGGCGATACAACAAAGGAGGAGCAATCCGAGCGCGAGCCTCCAGGCCTGGTGAGGCGTCAGCTCCCGACAATGTTGGCTGCCCACTGGGCCAAGCCAAACAGAACAATACGAGCCAAGCCATTTCGGCGTGCGTGTGGACGAACGAGCCCTGCTCGTGACAGCAGTTGGCCTCGTGTGTTGTGGAACGATCTACAAACACAGGGAATTGGTGTCACGGATCCTGGTTGACGGCTGACAAGACCCAGGATCCAAACCGAGCCTACACGGGCTGACCAGTCACAGGCAACATTCAATAAAGACCTTAACAAGACTTCCATAGCCAGTGAATAAACATCTTAGCAAAGCCTCTAGAGTTAAGAAAAAAATCAAAAAGAACGAGGCTATATAGTAAAATAACAAGACCCGAGGTCACAAGCCGCGATCTGTGGATTTCTCAAGAAGACAGGCAGGAACGCCGATTTGTAGAGAACCGCGGAGGCCGACCCGAAGGCCAGAAACACCACGTCCCCAGATACGCGCATCTAAATAGATTCAGTCCACTCTATTTTTGGTGGAGGACAGATCAGACGTTTGTATCATTCATCGATTAGTCCTTTGTTTCAGCAGCATAGTCAAGACCAGCAAATATTGCCTCCAAAAGGTATGCTTAGTGTGATTTTTAACCCCGTCCAAAACTTTTTACTCATGACATTCCAACAGACAATATTAGATGAAAATACCAACATCGGGATCCAAATCAACATTGTGCGAGAGGGGGGGGGGGGGGGGCAGAGCCCACACAAAATACAAATCGACCCTGACTAGAGACATGTGAATTATGACCAATGTCGCCAAACTACGCAAATCGCCTGCCCTGGGGACCGATGCGGCACTGGCGCGGCCGTCACCTGCCCTGGAGACCGATGTGATACTGGCGGAGGAGTCACTCGCCCTGGAGACCCATGTGGCGCTGGCGGGAGAGTCCGCTGCCCTGGAGACCGATGCGACACTGGCGGGGGAGTCACCTGCCCTGGAGACCGATGTGGTACTGGCTGGGGAGTCACCTGCCCTGGAGACCGATGTGACACTGGCGGAGGAGTCACTCGCCCTGGAGACCGATGTGGCACTGCCGATGGATTAACCTGCCCTGGAGACCGATGTGGCACTGGCGGGGGAGTCACTCGCCCTGGAGACCGATGTGGCACTGGCGGGGGAGTCACCTGCCCTGGAGACTGATGTGGCACTGGCGGAGGAGTCACTCGCCCTGGAGACCGATGTGGCACTGCCGATGGAGTCACCTGCCCCGGAGACCGATGTGGCACTGGCGGGGGAGTCACCTGCCCTGGAGACCGATGTGGTACTGGCGGGGGAGTCACCTGCCCTGGAGACCGATGTGCACTGGCGGAGGAGTCACTCGCCCTGGAGACCGATGTGGCACTGGCGGGGGAGTCACCTGCCCTGGAGACCGATGTGGTACTGGCTGGGGAGTCACCTGCCCTGGAGACCGATGTGACACTGGCGGAGGAGTCACTCGCCCTGGAGACCGATGTGGGCACTGCCGATGGATTAACCTGCCCTGGAGACCGATGTGGCACTGGGCGGGGGAGTCACCTGCCCTGGAGACCGATGTGGCACTGGCGGAGGAGTCACTCGCCCTGGAGACCGATGTGGCACTGGCGGAGGAGTCACTCGCCCTGGAGACCGATGTGGCACTGGCGGGGGAGTCACCTGCCCTGGAGACTGATGTGGCACTGGCGGGGGAGTCACTCGCCCTGGAGACCGATGTGGCACTGCCGATGGATTAACCTGCCCTGGAGACCGATGTGGCACTGGCGGGGGAGTCACCTGCCCTGGAGACCGATGTGGTACTGGCGGGGGAGTCACCTGCCCTGGAGACCGATGTGGCACTGGCGGGGGAGTCACCTGCCCTGGAGACCGATGTGATACTGGCGGAGGAGTCACTCGCCCTGGAGACCCATGTGGCGCTGGCGGGAGAGTCCGCTGCCCTGGAGACCGATGCGACACTGGCGGGGGAGTCACCTGCCCTGGAGGCCGATGTGGCACTGGCGGGGAATCACGGCCAGACCAGCGGTCTAAGATACATGAGTAGTAACGGACCCCTCACAAGTATTTGGTCCCACACCATACAACATTGTCGCAAACCCGACGCGCGCGGTGAAGGCGAATGAGACGCGCTGAACCCGCCAGCCGACCGAGCGCCGGCTCACTCCTGCGGACGACGACCCTCTGCACCGTTCTCGGGTGTCCGGCTTCAGGCCCCGGCCCGCGGCGCCAGGTGACCGGACGGCGCCAGGTGACCGGGCGGGGCCAGGTGACCGGGCGGGGCCAGGTGACCGAGCGGCGCCACGGCGCCCGGAGAGGCCAGGTGACCGAGCGGCGCCACGGCACCCGGAGAGGCAGCCACACTGCCCTCGCAGTCTGATGCTGAGCCTCAGCCGTCGGCCACGCCTCAGTCCCGTTGGCTGGCGTACGGAGCTCCGTGGCACGACTCTCCCACTGACGTCAGACAATGACTAAGGGGTAACCGGTGCCTCAAGAACAGGACGACGCCACGTCTCGCCAAATGCTCGCCGATGCAACGTTTACAAAAACTTCGAGGAAGTTATCCACTTTGCCTTTTGGCGCCTTTTTCCGCCCTTCGCTTGGCGCGCTTTTGCGCGCGGCGAGTGCCCCAGCAACGCGAGCAGGAAAAGCCGGCGGGAGGTCGGGACGGGCCGGCCAGGGTCGCCGAGCAAACATCACTTGCCGAACAGCGGCCATGGGCAGAATTTGCAGCAGGCGAACGTGCACCGCGGGACGTGCCCATGTGGCCCTTTTTATCAACATTACATGTCTCCAACGCTGTTTGTGCAGCCTGGCAGATAAATGGATAGCTCCTGCAGCACATTTCAGTGCCGCAAACGCCGCAAACAAAAAATCCGTTTCTGGCAGACTCTTCGTAAGGTGAGTCTGAGCGGCAGACCCGGTCGTCTGGCTGTGTACTGTGTTTGTGTTTATGCTCGCCTGTGACGCCGATTTGCGAAACGAACGCGACTGCCGCTGGCAGCCGTGATAACTCAGGATGCCGAGGCAGCATACGCCACCAGTAGAGCGGTAACAGACGCCCTGCGCTGGCAAACCCGAAGCGGGACATTCGTTGGTCGGTAAACAAGCGGCGGGCCCGCGGCGGAGTTGGCCCGGCCGAGTCGGAGCAGGACGGTGGCTGTCACCAGCAGACACCCTGCAGGAGGACAGCCTGCTGGCTGGGAATACCGGGGCCGCGCCGGCCGTGCCAGCGTATCCGGGCTGAGTAAGCACGCGCTGTTGATACATCTGGGGTGAGTGTGTGAGTGAGCGCGCGTGGGCGGGGGGAGGGGGGCGCAAGGGTGGGCCGCGACATCGCCAGCGACAGGCTGTCAGAGTCGGCAGACAAGGCGGAAGCGCTACCCACGGCCCGCGCGCACAAGAGTCCGCGAGGTGGCGCTGCGGCGGCGCCTGCACCCCGCGCCCGGGTCTGCAGCCCAAGGTCAGCCGTGCCCGCACCCGTCGCCGCTCGAGCGGTGTACAACCCTACTACCGCTCCCAAGGACGGCAGCCTCAGGACACGCACTTGGCCGCCGTGGTACGCGGCCGGCGCAGGTCGCCGTCGCAGAGCGCGAGCGGAGGAGGACCGCAGGTGAGCTGCGCTGAATTCCTCTCCTCACCCCCGCCGAGCCGCTTGAGGTCCAGCTCAGGGGTCCGGCCGCAGGCCACGCCGCAGTCAGCGTAAACACAGCATCGGCGGCGGGCGCCCACACCGCGCCCGGCGGTCCGGCGAGGCGAGGCCGCGGCCCGGAGGCCGGCGGCCGGCGGCGGCCCGGCGGCCGGCCGCCGCTGCAGTCGAAACTGCAGCCGGAAAACGCGGCCGGTCGCGTGAGCGGCGCCGCTCGCTGACGACACGCCGCCGCGCAGCCGGAGACCGGACGACCGGCGGCCGCCCGGCGAGTAGCGACCGGCGGTGAGTCGGCGCCGGACGCGGTCCGCGCGGCGACCGATATGGCGGCCGCGGCGGCCGCACGGACCCGCGCGAGATGCCGGCCGGTCGCCGCGGCCGGCGGCTCAGCGGCGCTGCATCGCCCAACCCATTGCACTGCGCAGTTCGGGGCCGACCCTGACCCACCGAGGTCACGGATGATTGGAGAGCAGCACCGCCGGCTCACCCTGGCTGGAAGGCGCTCCGTGAAGGAGCTTAATGAACGCAGGACTTCTGATATCATGACCGCCACGCGTCACGTCCTCTGACGGCTTTTCGCACAGCCCGAGCTCATTTCTTGGAACATCCCCGACTTGTGCGCACCCGCGGTGCGACGCTGCACGCCCACGCCCGTCTCCGGCCTGCGTGTGGACAGCTGCCGACTCCGTGAGCGGGCCCTGCCGCGCGTCGGAGGGGTGTCCTCCGTGCGTCCTGCGCCCGCCGTCGCCGGCCTACGGCTGCACGGGCTGCAGCCGGCCGCGAGCTGCCGACCGCCGATAGTGCTGACCTCGGCGCCAAATACGGCCGGCCGCCGGCCTGAGCCGCGCCGAGCCGCTCGTGAAGCAAACGGGCACGGCTGCGCGCTCAGACAAAGCAGCATGGCGGCGAGGGGAGTCTTCGCAACACGTACGCACCCGAGCAAAGTGAGGCTCACCTCTCAGGCGCCGCGAGGGTGCAAGTCAACAGGCACCAGCCTCCTCTGCATAGTTCGCGCCTAGGAAAACCAAAAGACGACGTGAGCGAGAGCGCGATGTGAGTGAGATGTGAGTGAGCGGTTTCTGAGCACGGAGGCCCAGTGAGCGGCGCGAGTGTGGTTCCCATAACCACACGTACATGCCCCCGGCCGCAGTAACCAAGTAACCGCCGTAAGTAACCACACGGTTCGCTCGACCGCTGCGTGGTTCGGGTTGATCCGACCTGACAACAGCCAGACACGAGTGACTCATCGACCATCGGCCCAAAGGCACCTCTATTTCGGCGGCGTCCGCTTTGCGTGACGCACACAAAGCTCTCTGCAGCGGTTCACTGAATGTAGCGACGCCAAAAAATGGCATCCAACGGCCGCGTCGCACTGGGCCGGCGGCGGTGGACTGCACGGGCTCCGGCGCGCGCGGCGGCACCACCACGGGCCCGTTATCGTGCGGCCCATGAAAACCGGGCGGCGCCGTGACCGGATCGTGAAGTTCTCGGCGGACGTTCTCTCATCATCATTAGTTGTCTTGATGGAGGTTAAACGTCGAGTAATTGGCTGGGCAACGGCCCGGAATCGTCGTCGATACGAACGGGTACAAAGTCTCGGGTATCTGAGACTGGTTTCTCGTGCAGCGGTCGAAAGTGCCCATAGTTCTCCGCGCGACGACTTCAATTATCACCGGAACACCAAAACCAATTTTTTGGGAAGCCACTAAGCCACACTTCAACGGTAGAAACGTGACGAGAAGTTTCTATTGCGCGATGCGATCGGGTCTGGACCGCCTCAGACGTGCCTGGTAATGGCGCGGGTCACTGCACCGCGCGCGGAGAAAGTCTCGGCCGCCATCTCCAACTGCCCAACGCCGCAGACCGCCGGCCGACGGCCGGGCCAAGACCGCTGTCCTCGTAAGGGAGCTCAGGAAGCGGGTCGGCTGACGGCTTCAGGTGGCTACGGCCCGCCGTAACTCCGACTGCATCACCGAGGAGTGTCCGGAGTTAGTGCCCGGAGTTAGCCCTCCGTCAGGTCACCTGGCACGGACTTCATTTTGAACCCAGTGGAATAATCATGCGCCCAACCGTGCCTCTTAATAACGAAATGGTACGCAGGCCGCTTGCCATTTATCATCATCTCCGTTACCGCATGGCGTCAGCAGATTTGTTGCATGGATTTCCATGAAAACTGACGGCCCGTTTCTCAGGAAAAATGGGACAGCGAATGCGCGCTCTGTGGTTTAAGGTCCAAAGTTCTCCGCCAGCCCACCCTGGCCCCGCCGACACAGCAGTGCGCGGCGTCTGCCGCGCACCGCGCGCTGAAGGGAGACGAAGCGGCGCCGTCGCGCGCGTTCGCCGCGTTTGACGGTTGCGCCATGGCCGCGCCGGCGCGCCGTACCGCCGCGCTCTGCCACTGGCGCACGGGCGGCAGCGGAGCGGAGCGGCGCCGGTGCGCGCCGCCCCGCTACAGCGCTGAGTCAGGGCGGGCCGGCGGCTGCGGCGGCGGCCGACCCGGCCGGCGGCGAGGCAGCCCGGCTGGCTGTACTGCTCTTGGCCGCCTGTCCTGACAGCACCGCACCGCCCTCGGCCGGCTCCGACGCCGCACCGGCCGGCCCGCCGACCTCCGACCGAGGCGTGCTGTCCGCTACCGTCTGTCGGGGAGCGTCTGCCGCCGTCCGTCACGCCTGGCGTGATGAGTGACGTAACGCTGGGCCGGAGGCCGGCGGCTCGCTCACGGCTGCCCACCCGCCGGAGCGTACACCGGGCGACGGTGACCGTGACCCCGCGGCCCCGGGCCGTCGGCCGGGGCGTGGCAGCTGACCCGACGTCGACCCCAGCCGCGACCCTCTGATCGTGGGCGTGCCGGCCCCCGCCCAGCCTCCGCTTCGGAGAACCCATCAGGGCACGTGTCAGGTAACCCCCCGGAGGCACTCCGTTGAATGTCAGTCCGACGGCGCAGTTTCCCCGAGGCGTCATAAATTCGCCGGACGCATTCGGACGCCGTGAGTTCATTTCACTTCCGTTGAGTTTGGACGCGGGCGGTCTCCAGGGAGCCATGACGCCAGCGCTCGCGGCTGCGGGAGCTGCGGGCGCCGCGCGGCGGCCTGCACAGGTGCTCGCTGCCGCGGCGGTCCGCGCCGCCGCTACACCGCCGGAACTAACGCCGGCCGCTCGCCTGCCCAGCGCTACTCAGAACCCGCTGCAGCGCCGCGCGCGGCCCGTGTGCACGTGCACCGTGCACGACGCGGTGTTCTCCACGGCGGTAGTTCATGACGGCCAGCTTTTCCGCCGGAGATTCGCGAAACGGTAATCTGACTTCGGCCGGTAGCACGTGCGTCGTGCGGAGGCGTGGCTGCGAGGCGCCGGCTCCGGCCGCGCTCCGAGCAGCCATCCGCCGGCCTGGCACCCCTGGGAGCCGTCCCAGCCCATCAGCGCCGACTGGATGGCCGTGATGGATGGGCACACGGGCGCAAACGGCTGCAAGTTTGGGCCTCCGCTCGACGTCCGACAACTGGAGCGCGCGAGGCGGGGCGGGGGCGGGGGCGGGACGGGCGGACGGGAACGGGCGGACAGGACGTGGCGGACGGATGGGCGGACGGGACGGGCGGACGGGACGGGCGGACGGGACGGGCGGACGGACGGTCGGGACGGGACGGGCGGACGGGGCGGGGCGGACGGGGCGGGGGGCGGACGGGACGGGACGGGCGGACGGGACGGGAAAACGGGACGGACGGGGCGGGACGGGGCGGGGGCGGACGGGACGGGGCGGGGGCGGGCGGGACGCGGGCGGACGGGACGGGACGGGGCGGGCGAACGGGACGGGCGGACGGGTGCGGGCTGCGGACGGGGGACGGTACGGGGGCGGACGGGGCGGGGACGGACGGAGGAACGGGGCGGGGCCGGACTGGGGGGACGGGCGGACGGGGCGGGGCGGAGGGACGGGACGGGGACGGGGCGGGGCGGACGGGACGGACGGGGCGGGGCGGACGGGACGGGGCGGGGCGGACGGGACGGGGGGGGCGGGGCGACGGGACGGGCGGGCGGCGGGACGGGGGGCGGGGCGGACGGGACGGGGGGGCGACAGGGCTGGTGCAGCGCCCGTCCGGAGGTGTGGCGGTCCGCACGCGGCGCCGCTGTGCTCAGAGTCGCGTCAGCTGGCGTCACGTCACGCCGGTGGCCGGATGAGTGCTTCCTGTGCAGAGCTCGGCTCGGCTCTGTATTGCAGGTGATTCGGACCATGACCAGCAGCGGTATTTGGTGGTTCGGTCGAATGCTGCAGCGACTGCTCTCATAACTCACAGTACATTTAGGCTGTAAAATCATGTCAAGGGTTACAGCCCCGATTCAAGACCACTGCCCTCCATCTGGAATTCATTCGAACAGCTTCGACTTCGACCGTAGCGGAACGGGGATGTAGGTAGCGGTCTGCGGGTGCCTCGGGGCTTGCCGGTCACTTCTCGGAGCGCCAGGAACACGGTGCCAATCAGCGGTTCATGTTGCCGTGCCGGCTCGCGAGCCCAGCTGGGACGTGATCCGTGTTTACGGCCGACTCAGAGCGGGCTGCCCCGCGCGCGGAGGTCGTCTGCGAGGACAGGGCGAGGGCGGCGCGCCCGGCCGGCTCCCGTTTCGGGAACGCCACACCAACGACGCAGTCCGGGGATTGCCCGCCTCGGGCCGCGGCCGTGACGCCCGCTGGCTGTCCTTCCGCCGGCGCAGCGGCGGCGTTTGTTGGGGTGAGCGGCGCGGCCGATACAGCACTGCCACAGCACCGCAGACCCCGAGGTCAGGTCAGGTCAGGGTAGAGCATGGCAGAGCGTGGCATGTACGATCCGTCAGTCCACCGACTTCAGTTCGTACAGCTGCGGTCGCCACGTGATTCCTGGGGCGCGGGGGCAGCATCTCTCCATGGCCACGCCCTTCCGCCCCGGGTGGAGCTGGGGCATTCCGGCGATGTCGGCCACCCCAGCTCCATATCGCGCTCCATCATCACCCCTCGTCCCGCGGCCGCACCGCCTCGCGCCCGTCCTCCATCCGGGCCCAGGTTGGTGGCCGGGTAGCGGCGTGCGACCGAAGGCGCCGGCCCGGTCCCACGGCGGCGGCGCCACGTCGGCGGCCGCATGGTCCTGGCGTGCGAACGCCGCCGCCGCGACGGCCAGTAGTGACGCCCGAGCACGCTATGGCCGGCAGGGGGCGGCACGTGAGTCGCCCGATGAGACGGCGCCGCGGCGCGACCGGCGGCGGCCGGCCGCTCCCTAACTGAGTCAGCGCAGGTCGGTCGGGCGTCGGCGCGGCCCGAGTGTACCGAGCCGCGGGGCGGACATTCCCGAGGCGGGGTGGTGGGACGGAGACGTCCCGGCACGGACGATGGGACGGGCACCTCGCGCCGGGACTACACCGCCGACGTCCCAGACGGGACGATGTCGCAGCCAGCCGGTAACGGGACGACCGATGGTCCGGTCGTGATGTTTCGATTATGCGAACGGCATCAAGGGCTCGCACCGTTATGCAACGGCGTCCGGTTTTCCTCGCGCGCCTGGCGTGCCGGTGACTTGATGTGCGCTCCACTGACCACCTGTCTGTCTCTCACAGGTGCTGGGATGTGTGCCGTCGTCCGCGGTCGAACCGTCTCACCGGCCGCGTAGGGTGCCCGAGCCGCCATGAGGCTGCCGCTGGCGCTTCCGCTGGCCGCGCTGCTCGCCAGCTGCGGCGCGGCGGCGGCTGACGCGGCGCAGCTACCGCTCTGCGACCACCAGGCCGCCTGCTACTGCGAGACCATCCCGGGCGGCTCGTTCAACCTCTTCTGTCGGCTGCCGGTGCAGTTCACGTACCGCGTGACCTACGTCGCGCCGACGGCGGCGTCGGGCGCCTCGCTCATCATCTGGTGCGACCCGCTCACCATGCGGCGCGAGCATTACCAGCTGCTCTACAGCTACAACATGACGCTGGGCCCGGTGGAGAAGGTGGTGTTCAACCTGTGCCCACTGCCGACCGGCCGGCTGGTCGCCTTCTTCGAGCGGCTGGGCGTGAGCGGCACGCAACGACTGCGCGTCAACTCGCACGACATGCTCAACGACACGATGCCCGCCGACTTCCTGCACGGCAGCAACGCCACCAGCGTGCAGCTCAACGGTCTGACGCGCATCGACATCCACGACGACTTCCTGGCCACGCTGGGGCACTTGCAGAACCTAACGCTAAGCGGCACGGCGCTGACGCTGCCGAGCGCGCTGTTCCAGCACACGCCGCGCCTCGGCCAGCTGGGGCTCGCCGGCAACCAGCTGCGGGAGCTGCCCGAGCAGCTGCTGGACGGGCTGACGCAGCTGCGCCTGCTCAGCCTGGGCAACAACCTGCTGCGCCAGCTCAGCCGGCGACACTTCCGCGACCTGGGTCAGCTGGAGATGCTGGATCTGTACCGCAACGAGCTGCGAGAACTGCCCGAGGACGCGCTGACGTCGCTGTCGCGCCTGCAATCGCTGCGCCTGCAGTACAACCCGCTGCAGCGGTTGCCGGAGGGGCTGTTCGCCGGCGCGCCTAGTCTGCGGCTGCTGCACCTCAACGGCGGCAGCTCGTCCGGCGGCAACCTGACCACGCTGCCGGCCGGCCTGTTCCGCGGCCTCCGACGGCTCGAGATGCTGATGCTGGACAGGCTCAACGTGCGCCAACTGCCGGCCGGCCTGTTCGCCGACCTTAAGTCGTTGACCAATCTCACGCTTGACAACAACATGCTGGAGGCGCTGCCGGAGGGCGTCTTCGCCGGCCTGACCGCACTGCAAAACCTGGACCTGCGCGCTAACCAGTTGACGACGCTGCCGGCCGGACTGCTGCGCGAAGTGCCGCGGCTCGACACCCTGTACCTCAGCCGCAACCGGCTGGCGGCGCTGCCGGACGGGCTGTTCGCGGCGACGCCGCGCATGGAGCGCCTCTTCCTCGGCAGCAACGACCTGAGCAACGTCAGCACGGCCACCTTCAGCGGCCTGGGCACCAGCCTGCGGTTGCTGCGGCTCGACCGCAACCGGCTGGCGTTCGACCGGCGTTCGCCGCGGCCGCCCGCCTTCCAGGAGCTGGCCGAGCTGCGCGACCTCACGCTGGCCCACAACCGGATCGACCACATCACGCAGGACCTGCTGGTCAACCTGGTGCACCTTCGCCGGCTGGACCTGCGCCGGAACCTGCTGCATCGGCTGACGTTCGATGACCTCAACTTCTTGTGCAACGAGGCCGAGATCGACCTGCGCTCCAACAACATCTCCACCATCTCGTTTCCGCTGGCCACCATGAAGGTGGACGGCAACGACCACCGCAAGCCAAACGCCATCAACGTCAACGACAACCCGCTGCTGTGCGACTGCCAGCTGCTGTCGTTGCGCGCCTACCTGGACGGCACGGGCACGTTCGCGCGCCGCGCCGAGCTGGACGAGCTCTTCCAGCTGGTGACGGACGGCCTGGCCTGCGCGCGGCCGGCGCCGCTGGCCGGCCAGCCGTTCGCCGCGCTGCACGCCGACCAGCTGCTGTGCCCGCTGGAGGCCGACTGCCCGGCAGGCTGCGCGTGCCAGCAGCAGAGCAGCCAGCAGACGGTGCTGGTGACGTGCGGGGCGCGGCCGGCGGGCGCCGCGCTGCCCACGCGGCTGCCGCGCGTCCGTCGCTTCGGCGTCAGCCTGCACCTGGAGGGCACGGCGCTGCAGCGGCTGACCAACCTGTCCGCCACCACGGCGCCCGTCACGGAGCTCCACCTCAGCGGCAACAACCTGACGACCGTCGAGCCGAGCGCGCTGCCGCCGGCGCTGCGCCTGCTGCGGCTCGACCACAACCACCTGAGCACCGTCTCGCCGCAGCTGGTGGCCTACCTGGAGCGGAGCGGCGTGCGGGTGGCGCTCGGCGCCAACCCGTTCGTGTGCGACTGCGCGATGCTGCCGCTGCACCGGCTGATGCAGCGCCTGGTCAGCAACGGGTCGCGCCAGGTGCTCGACGCCAGCGACGTGTTCTGCGTGGGCCACAACAGCTCGCTGCTGGCGCTGAAGCCCGAGGAGGTGTGTCCGTGGCGACAAGCCACACTGATAGCCGTGTGCGTCGCGGCGACGGCGCTCGCCATGTGCCTGCTGGTGATCGCCGTGCTCTACTACCACTACAGCGACACCATCAAGGTGTGGCTGTACGCGCACAACCTGTGCATGCGCTTCGTCACCGAGGAGGAGCTGGACACGGACAAGAAGTACGACGCGTTCGTCAGCTACTCGCACCTGGACGAGGAGTTCGTGGTGGAGCACCTGGTGCCGCAGCTGGAGCAGGGCGAGCCCAAGTACTCGCTGTGCCTGCACTTCCGCGACTGGCTGGCCGGCGAGTGGATCACTGACCAGATTCAGCAGTCTGTGCAGAGCTCGCGGCGCGTGATCGTCGTCATGTCGC